TGAATACTATTCAGTCTATTTGTAAATTTACTTTATACAATATAATATTTCTTATTCATTTTTTAAGTTTTTCAAGTAGGTTGATTTCGTATGTATCTTTATGCTATTATAATTTGTGACTGTTTACTTGTTCAGTAAGCTTTTTTTGTGATATTGAAATTGGTAACAAGAATTATGAAATTTCAGTTTTACCACAAATAAAACCATGGTAACCACAAATGAATCATGGTTTTGCTGCACTATAACCATAGCTTAACCATGTTTTTGTAGTAAAATTGTGGATATACAAATGGTAATCAATACGCCAAAATCCATGGTTACTACACTTTTACTATAATAAACCATGGTTAATTTTCATAAGGGATGCAGCCAATGAGAAACAACTGAATCTGAATCCTTCTGCTCAGCCTCCTCTAACAATCATAAAGTAATTAGCCTACCAATATGAGCATATTCACAATGACTTTGTCTTAAGTTTCCTCAAGTTTTGTTGTTGTTGTGAAATGTAGGAGAAACTTTTCCCAATTATCCCCTCATAAAACAAACAATTTCCCCATTTAAACAGTCTGGGTAGATTTTATCTATAGCTACATGTGTCAGCAAAAGACAAAAAGGGAGAATTTGGCACAACTGAGCACTCTGTAAACATGCCTCTGTTGTCAGGACATCTCTGTTTCTGGCGCGTGGTGTTATAAACTTGTGACGTATACCAGCAGCATCTGTTCCAAAGTGGTGTGTTTAACATCCACGGTGCCAGAACGCAAGTGTGTGTGTGTGTGTGTGTCTGTCTGGAGGCAAAGGTAGCTGTTTTGCGTGGAGATGAGGCTTGGGTAGTGTGTCTAATCTGTGTATTATTCAGTAGACTGTGTGGGTATAATCACCCCAACCATGGTAACCACAAATTAATCATGGTTTTGCTGCACTATAACCATAGCTTAACCATGTTTTTGTAGTAAAATTGTGGATATACAAATGGTAATCAATACGCCAAAATCCATGGTTACTACACTTTTACTATAATAAATCATGGTTAATTTTCATAAGGGATGCAGCCAATGAGAAACAACTGAATCTGAATCCTTCTGCTCAGCCTCCTCTAACAATCATAAAGTAATTAGCCTACCAATATGAGCATATTCACAATGACTTTGTCTTAAGTTTCCTCAAGTTTTGTTGTTGTTGTGAAATGTAGGAGAAACTTTTCCCAATTATCCCCTCATAAAACAAACAATTTCCCCATTTAAACAGTCTGGGTAGATTTTATCTATAGCTACATGTGTCAGCAAAAGACAAAAAGGGAGAATTTGGCACAACTGAGCACTCTGTAAACATGCCTCTGTTGTCAGGACGTCTCTGTTTCTGGCGCGTGGTGTTATAAACTTGTGACGTATACCAGCAGCATCTGTTCCAAAGTGGTGTGTTTAACATCCACGGTGCCAGAACGCAAGTGTGTGTGTGTGTGTGTGTCTGTCTGGAGGCAAAGGTAGCTGTTTTGCGTGGAGATGAGGCTTGGGTAGTGTGTCTAATCTGTGTATTATTCAGTAGACTGTGTGGGTATAATCACCCCTAACTCTCTCATGTCTCCGAGCAGAAACAGGGGAACGATAATCCAGCATCTCTCACCCACTCCTTATATAACCAGCCGTCTTTATGTCAGTCCAACGGCTTGCTCTCACTTGTTTTAAAAGTCAAAGGAAGTGGTACTGAAGGAGTGTGGATTCTCTAGTGGTTGGGTATACTTAAAGATGTAAACACCAGTATTAATTCAGAGGGATTACGACTAGTTTCATTTCCTCGTAAATTATCCTCCTTGCATTCTGCGTTGCGTGTTTAATTTAGTGGAAGTCGACTCAGCTGTGAGACTGTAGCGGTTTGACCTTGTGGATCCACTGTGTTTAGGCTTAATTACCCATCAGTCTTCAGTACTAGAATGTGATTGGCATAATTTTGGAAAGCAGTGAAATTGCTTCACTCACAAGAGAGAGAGAGACTATGGAAAATAGAGATAGCCTATTGTGAAGAGGTGGAAATGAAACGATTTTTAATTAAGCGATTTTGTGATCTTATTGTGAATTTGCGCAATGTCCAATAAAACACAAGTATCCAACCCAATCTCATGATAAAACATGACTATTTTATGAGGTGGCGATTTCATATTATTTCGTACAATGTGATTAAACGGACATGTATGATTTTAGAAAAAAACCTAACCGCTAAAAGCAGGTCATATATAAATTCATATAAAATAGGCAGTTATTTGCCAAAACAGTAAAATTATGGAAGACTGTTTCCACCACAAGACAAAAAGGTCACTTACCATTCTGACTTTTTTTCACACAAGTCAGGGTTTATATTTCATAATTATTACTTTTATTGTGCAACTCTGAAAATAAAAATGTAAGAATTACAAGATATAAACTCTGAATTGCAATTCTGAAATGAGAAGTCAGATTGTGAGATACAAGCTCGCAATTATGAGGAAAAGTCAGAAAAAGTTCAAATGACTTTTTTTCAATTTATTCATTCTATGGCAGAACCAAAAAAGTCAGAATTGCAAGATATAAACTCATAATGTGAGGCGTAAACTGGTAACTGTAAGAATAATTCAGAATTCTGAGTTAACACCATGCAGAATAGCAAGTCAGAATTGTCAGAAATTTTTTTTATTGTGTGGCGGCAACAGGCTTCCATATAAAATAGTTCCGAATTGCTATGATAGTGTGTTGAAAGTATCATAGTCTGAATGCACGTTCAGCTGGCCATGTAACCCATTTTTCTAACTTCCCACCTAACTGACTCAAGGCCAAAGTAATTTAAAAAAGATAATACACTAAATATATTTTACTGCAGTTTTGAACAGCACACTTTCAAACTTGAAAAGAAAAAGTGGTCATGCTCACTGATACACCCAGAGCATAAACACACAGAAACACAGTTGTTTACAAAACCTCATCTCTGATGAAACCAATGTAATCTTGGAGAAGTCCCCATATAGAGAAAAGGCCCAGAAATGAAAGCGTCATTATGTTTTGATCATATAAGCCGGATTCCTGGAACCTTGCCCATAAACAAGCTTTGAATCATGCAATCGGATTGTGTTGTCTCCTGTACAGTTGTCTCTTTAAATGCACAGATAATGCATTTGGAAATTCTAGAGTGTCTTAAATTGTTCAACAAGAGTGGCCTTTTGTGCACTTCTACCACAAAAGATGGAACACAAACAATGATGTGACTACTGTATAAAAAACTGAAACATTGTGTATAACGCTGTTATCTTTAACTGTACTCTTGTGGCTTTCTGTTGTGCACAAGGAAGATTGGCTTGTGCAAAGATTTGTTTTGCTCATTATGTGTGATCACGTCAGTCTAACCATTCAATTAAGTGTCAATCAGGAGGATTTTAATAGGAGTAGAAATTTTCATCAATTGTAAAATCACATAAGGCGTAAAGGAACTGTGAGTGCAGTGTTTTTCAGAGAACAGATGCTTCTCTCTTAGAAGAATGACATAAATATGACTTAATTGTATAGCCATGAAAAGATTATGTGATGTGCATTTGTGCCAAAACATAGGCCCTCGCTAAAACCCAGCGGGTGAACAGTAGAGGCGTTGTCGTAGTGATCCTGGTGACGGTATTCTTCGTATACAGGCGAGTTGTTGTCGTCCAGGGTTAGGGACGTGCGGAAATCTCTCTGGCCCTGGTATCGTCGTAATGGGTAGCCAGTCTGCAGCGATAGAGTGCTGCCATCCAACCGCACGCTGCCGCCCAGGCGGATAGGGGTGCCCACTAGCCGTGTAGGGGTCAGGGGAGGTGGAGGAGCAGGAAGGGGTGGGGGAGGTGGTGTAGGGGTCTGGTCTCGAGGTGGTGATTCCAGTCCTGGGAGACACGTGTCAAGCCACTCTGAGGTTTGCCATTGGTAGGCTGGAAAATACATGCAGAGTATCAGAAAGTGCCTGAGCATATGCAACTTCCATTTAATGCGGATTTATACAGTATATGTCACGTGTAAAAGACTTTATGTATGACTTTATATATTTATACATTTTTACACAATTTCAGCAGCCATTACTCCAGTCTTCAGCATCACATGGCCCTTCAGAAATCATTCTAATATGCAGAGTTTGTGCTCAAGAAACATCAATGTTGAAAACAGTTTTTTCTGCTTAACTTGTACTTGTGTTGTTGTTGTTTTTTATACTAGATCTTTATTGTACTGTATTATTATAATTAGCTACTTTTATTTATTATTATTATTATTATTATTATTTGTGACCCTGAACCACAAAACCAGTCATAAGTAGCACAGGTATATTTGTAGCAATAGACAACAATACATTATTATGGGTCAAAATTATCGATTTTTCTTTTACACCAAAAATCATTAGGATATTAAGTAAAGATCATGTTCCATGAAGATGTTTTTTAAATTTCCTACTGTAAATACATGCATTGCTAAGAACTTCATTTGAACAACTTTAAAGGCGATTTTTCTCAATATTTAGATTTTTTTTTGCACCCTCAGATTCCAGATTTTCAGTTCAAGAAGTTAATACTTAATTATTAATTATTCAGCAAAGACACATTAAATTGATCAAAAATGTATCACATTATCCACAAAAAACTATAAGAATAATACGAACTATTAACAATTGAGCACTTGAGCTTACTTGATTTGATCTCAAGTGAGCTTTAAATAGAAAATAAAATAAAAAATGTACTATGAATTATATATATATATATATATATATATAATAAACAGTCATATGAAATTTATTTGAAACGACGAGAGTGAGTAAATGATGACAGAATTCTCATTTTTGGGTGAGCTATTCCTTTAATGAAGTACATGAAGAATAATCACTAGTGTACAGTATGGTTGAGGCTGTGAGAGTCCAGACTTTTCCATTCCTGACAGATCAGCACACATGTTCAGGTCGAGTCCTCAGTTGCATGATCACAAGCTTCCAGTGTAATTAAGGTCGCTTTGTCCAGTTAACGGTCAGTAATACTATCTCATGCCAGACAAAGAAGTCTTTGGGCTCTGACTACGCAAGCGTTGGGCCCGAAGTGAAATCCTGCCCAGTCTGTCGATCTCCTGCTGGCTGCCGAAGGGGTGCGTGTCCTCCCAGACACGCGGACGCTCCTCCCAGGCCAGTAGGGGAGGGTGAGAGAGCAGGTACTGGCTGGAGTGATGATAGTCGGGTCTGGATAGGCCCTCGCTAAAACCCAGCGGGTGAACAGTAGAGGCGTTGTCGTAGTGATCCTGGTGACGGTATTCTTCGTATACAGGCGAGTTGTTGTCGTCCAGGGTTAGGGACGTGCGGAAATCTCTCTGGCCCTGGTATCGTCGTAATGGGTAGCCAGTCTGCAGCGATAGAGTGCTGCCATCCAACCGCACGCTGCCGCCCAGGCGGATAGGGGTGCCCACTAGCCGTGTAGGGGTCAGGGGAGGTGGAGGAGCAGGAAGGGGTGGGGGAGGTGGTGTAGGGGTCTGGTCTCGAGGTGGTGATTCCAGTCCTGGGAGACACGTGTCAAGCCACTCTGAGGTTTGCCATTGGTAGGCTGGAAAATACATGCAGAGTATCAGAAAGTGCCTGAGCATATGCAACTTCCATTTAATGCGGATTTATACAGTATATGTCACGTGTAAAAGACTTTATGTATGACTTTATATATTTATACATTTTTACACAATTTCAGCAGCCATTACTCCAGTCTTCAGCATCACATGGCCCTTCAGAAATCATTCTAATATGCAGAGTTTGTGCTCAAGAAACATCAATGTTGAAAACAGTTTTTTCTGCTTAACTTGTACTTGTGTTGTTGTTGTTTTTTATACTAGATCTTTATTGTACTGTATTATTATAATTAGCTACTTTTATTTATTATTATTATTATTATTATTATTTGTGACCCTGAACCACAAAACCAGTCATAAGTAGCACAGGTATATTTGTAGCAATAGACAACAATACATTATTATGGGTCAAAATTATCGATTTTTCTTTTACACCAAAAATCATTAGGATATTAAGTAAAGATCATGTTCCATGAAGATGTTTTTTAAATTTCCTACTGTAAATACATGCATTGCTAAGAACTTCATTTGAACAACTTTAAAGGCGATTTTTCTCAATATTTAGATTTTTTTTTGCACCCTCAGATTCCAGATTTTCAGTTCAAGAAGTTAATAATTTTTCTCAATATTTTGATTTTTTTTTGCACCCTCAGATTCCAGATTTTCAGTTCAAGAAGTTAATACTTAATTATTAATTATTCAGCAAAGACACATTAAATTGATCAAAAATGTATCACATTATCCACAAAAAACAATAAGAATAATACGAACTATTAACAATTGAGCACTTGAGCTTACTTGAGTTGATCTCAAGTGAGCTTTAAATAGAAAATAAAATAAAAAATGTACTATGAATTATATATATATATATATATATATATAATGCAAACTGTCATGGAACCTTGATATTGAAATACACAAGATCTCTAGTTTAGTACAGTTAATGAAGATATAAGCTCTTACAATTCATAAAATACTCTTTGACGAATTCCACGCATATCTCATCCTCACAGTGGAGGTGTGGGCTTGCTGTGTAGAGACATAAAATGGAAAATGTTTCAGGGGGAGCGTTTTAATGAGTTATGGGATGGAAACAAATAAACAAGAGCCAAATCAAAAACAAAACAGTCAGAACAATCAGCCTGTTCATGCTTGATGAAATATTAAAGATGGAATGTTTTAATATGGGATGCATGTAAAGGTTTAGAAATATGTCTGACCAATTGAAAAAGAGGAACAGATATTAAAGTAAAATGGAACAATAAACCAAACATAAAGAGGACTCACATGGGGCACTGTGAGGCTGCACGTCGCCCAGACCTGCAACTGTTAGGAGAAGAGGAAAACACATCATATATCACTGCTTGTGTTTAGCTTGTTTAATGTGACCTATTCAACATCCTTGTTGTATAAACATGTTGTATAAATGAATCAGATTTTAGCAGTACATAACTACTGAAAATTATGATTACTCAATCATTTCCCCTCTTTTTGTACATAAGGGTTAAGTTTAATAGTAATTAGTTAAATTTAATTTTTTTTATTTGAATTAAAGAATTATAACTAATTCATATTTGATTAATAATAAAAGTATATTTTTAAATATTTAAAATGAATATTAACATGCATTTGTAAGATATAAATTGCATTAAATGAATACATTTAAAATACATATGTTGTTTATATTATATTATTTTAATGAAATAGTAATGGATATATTATTAAATAAATATTATTATATAAATATTAAATAAATAATTATTTAACAACTGAAATATAACAAAGAAACAGTTGAAAATGTATACTAAGAGTATAATAAGAGTAAATTATTAAAATATTTAATTCAACTAAAAATAAATAATTACTATTTGATAATTTTTTTTAATATTTAAAAATTAATATCAAAATTAGATTTAAAAATTTTATATTTGTAAAATATAAATTGTATTAAAATTATACATTTAAAATACACATGCAGATTATATATTATTTAATATAACTTAAATCAACCTGACTACAATAGGTTAGACCCGTTATTTAGAAATAGTAATGAATATAATAGCAATAAATAGAATAAACAGTAAGAGTTATTAAGACAATTAATTAAATAAATTAAAATGTATTTTTCTAAATGTAAATTAATTTCTAATAAAAATATTAGCTAACTAATATTTAATTAATATAAAATATATTTAAATGTATTATATTTATATAATATTTATAATATAATATAGTTATAAAGTTATATTATATTTAAAATTAATTAATATTTAAATTTATTATTAAAATAATATTTTAAAATATATTTGTAAGATATAAATTGTATTAAATTTATACATTTAAAATACATATACACATACTTATTATAACTTAAATCAACCTGACTGCATTATGTTACACGAAAGTTATTTAGAAAAAGTAATTAATACAATAGTAATAAATAAGATAATAAATAGAAATGATTAATAACAGAAATATTTTCTCAAGGCAACAACTGAAAGTTTACTCATTTTAAAGTTTAAGAATGCTGGTCCAAGACCCAAAAAAGTTGTTGATCCAGGAACATGTCCTACTTGGATAAATCACATTGTGCTGTTTAGCATAACCAACAAAAACAGTCCACTTTCATCCAGACCTCTGAGAAAGAAGGTGGAGCTGAGAACTCCTCAGACAGCAAAAATTACCATAGTGTGTGAGACTTTCAAGCAAACAGCTTGTTTTCGCACTGATTGGAAACAGCTTTGGTCTAGGGCAGGTTTAATTAGAGACTGGTTCTGGTGCGCCTCAAAAACAGGTCACTGTAGCTGAGCCACGGAGTACAGGGATGCTGTTCTTCACTAACTAATGGCTAGCTAAATAGTTCAGGTTTTCAATGCAACTGGATTATGTGAGTGATTAAAGAGTGAATCTAAACCCTGGTTTTATTTAAGTCCAGAGTTGTGCAGTTTAATTAACGACTCTAATCCTACTTTGTCCAGCATGGACTGAAATCCTGCATGAATGGACACTTCAGTTCCTGCGCTCTGGGATTTCACCTTTACCTTTTCATGCAGCGTGGTATCCCTTTAACATTTCAACTGAATAATACTATCAAATATTACTACACGGCACTCTATTTGACTCTACAGCTCTATATTTCATTCTGTCAGTTGCAGCATTCTATGGTCAGTTTTTCTTCTATAATGATGCTAAACGGTGTAATTGACTGTTGTATCCAGGCAACCGATTTCCTTGCAGTGCTGGATGTCTGTAGTATCACTCTATACTGTACCTTTCTTTCTTCTGACAATAAAACCTCAAATTAATGTTTCACATCCATTTATTTATTTATTTGCCTAGAAGCTGTCTAATAAGCAGGACGTTCTGCTTCGCATCGGTGTCCTGATGACTTGTTGGGTTTGTTTTGCAATGATGCCTACAATATTTCTAAATAATACACTATAACATGATAATATTTCTAAAATTATTATTAAATATCTTTTAATTAAAAATGAAATAAAACTAAGAATTAATAATATTTTGTAACAGTTAACAATAAGGTTTCATTTGTTGACATTAGTTAACACCAGTAACATGAATTAACAATTCAAGTTGATTAACGTAATTGCAACATTTAAAAATACATTATTAAAATCAAAAGTTGCATCTATATAGAAACAGACAAAAAAATAATTATTTTCATATATAATATCACAAAAATAATGTAAAAAGTAATAATTAAAATAAGGATTAATTTGTTAAATCATTTTGAAATTAAATCATTCAAAACTTACTAAAGAGAGAGAGAGAGAGAGATACTAAAGAGAGAGAGAGAGAGAGAGAGAGAGAGAGTTGGACAGACAGATGGATGGATGGACGGAGAGATGTATGGATGGAAATAATAATAATAATAATAATAATGCAGAAAATAAAGAATAATGTTTATTAAAAACAATAAATAAATAAGAAAGAAAGAAAGAAAAGTAGGTAGGTAGACAGACAGACAGACAGATGGAAATAATAATAATAATAATAATGCAGAAAATAAAGAATAATGTTTATTAAAATAAATAAATAAATAAATAAATAAGAAAGAA